CGTCGAGGTCGGCAATATATGACGACCTCGGTGGTCTAGTGGTTTAGCACACCGCACCTATCTTACGTCCGATGGTCGCGGGTTCAAGTCCACGCACGGTACAAACATTTGTATTCTTAATTATGATTATTTGTATCGATCGGAGTGTTTACTGTATAAATTATGTATGTTTACAAAAAAATATTTATATCAGAAGTCTAGCACCTATAACACAAGATCAGCTTAACTTGGGATTAGATGACGCTGTGTGAATTGTCTAAGGATATTATTATATTCGTCTTCAGTTACCGAAGTTAAGATACCGAAGGATATACTGGAATTATCTCTAAATAAAAAAAACACATATTTATTGGACAAGCCTAATTACCTACACACTAAATGATTACTTGAATGACAAAGTTAATTTTATGAGCAGACTACCTACTACTTTTGAACCAATGTAAAGCATAATCTTAGTCTCTTTCTAAAATGAGAAGCGCTTCTGCATTTTGTAACGGCACATTTGAATTCTAATGTAGGTATGTATTAAAAAGAAATTTTGACTATTAACGAAATTTTATATAAAAACCAAATCAAAATCTGAAGAAATTGCAAAATAAGAGACGTGACACTATTGAGGAGGTGTCATAAATGAGACCTGCTGTGAATTACCTACGTATTAATTATTTATAGTCCAAACAGAAAATAGCAAGCACATTTGATATGGGCTGACTAATATGTTGTTGTCATTATCATTAAATTGGAATGTTCATATTATTGTCTCATTCCAATGGTTTTACTGTCGATTACATTATAATAGTACACTGGCTGAAATATCTAAACGAGCTACTTAGAACTACATATATGTACTCTTCAACCACGGGTAGGTATAGACCATGAGTTTTTCCATTAGGTTGCATTCATTAAATACACGACAACACAAGAAAAAGAACACATACAAAAAATAAAATATTTCAGGATTTTCAAATAGGATATTTCTGCAATTATAATAATGTAATCAAGTAGGCATTATGGTTTGAGCCAATTAAAGAAATTGTTTTATGTAAAGTTAACTCCAATTAATGGGTCGAAGACAAGGGATTGATGGCGAATCGAGCAGTTATTGTAAGACAACAATAAATAAATTAAAAATCTAAATAATAATAAGTAAATAGTGAAACATGTATTCGCAAGGTTAGTGTGGTGTCATTCGTGTTGTTGCTCCGCCCCGTTTGGTGTATATCGGTCGAAATTTTCAGAAAAGCTGCGGCATTAATAATTTCAGCTGCAGTTGAGTCACCAGCGAATGGCGGGAGGCTCGGGGGACGGGCGGACACGGAAAACATTCGGCCCACTTCGCGCAGGTACGAATATATCCGAATATTTACCCACCTGCGCCTGCTCAGAATTTGGGACGCGAGACTGTCGCCAACGCAAGTGGGAATGTAGAAATATTTATGATTTACTAATGAAATTCTGTGTATGCAGCCAAATCATACGCGTATTAACAGTGTATTTTTAAATTGTAGTAATAAGCACTATGAAATAATTTAGATATTTTCAAAAGTCAATGCTATTTTATACACATTACAAGGAAATAAAAATACATATTTTAATTAAAAATTATGAAGTCCAAATTTTGTTAGAATAATAAAAAGAAATATTATTTTTAGATATTGCTGTATATTCAAAAGTTTGACGACAAAAAAAATTCTTTTGACTGGCAACACTAGCAATAATTGTTGTCAACTGGCGCAAACAGAGTTAATAGGATGTTAGTGCTTCGTTATAAACAAGACTTAATAATAGATGTAAGTCATACACTAAATTTATTTTTATTAAATTTATCACTCCTTTATTGTGATGCATTTGTTACAATTAGCATGTTTAATGTTATAATGTTTTTAGTACTGTATTACTTGCAAAAATGGAATGGAATAAAATCAAGAGAATAGAACTTTTACTACTTATTATAGGTTTTCCTTCACAATATTAATCTAGATTTTAAATAAATATTTTTGCCCTGTGTTTATAGACTTGTGTAATATACCGAGATTAAAGTAAATAAACACTTATTTTTACTACTTCATAAAAGTTTTACTAAACATAATGTTAATTGTAAGTAACTTATTTACTAACATAACTTAGTTAGGTGTTATATAGAAAATAGCACAAGTCTTCAATTTCATTAAGTATATACATATTATAATTTATTATATTACACTGGAGAGTAGATAATAGATAATATAATTAGAATAAAGGAGAAAATTTTAATAAATACTACAGGAATGAGATAAGTGTGAAATTGAGATGAAATGTTGTCAATGTAGTTCTGATGAATGATACATGTCCTGACATGTATGAATAGGAATGGACTGTAGTATACTATAAATAATTAAAACAGTTACGGGGACACATTCAAATCAACTTAGATACATCACATATCACTCACCTCGAGAGACACCTTAACGGAATTAATTTCAACGCCACCATTGTAGAATAAAAAACTCAACCAGAAATTTAATGCAATAGAATATAAACAAGTGAGTCACTGTAATAGCACCTCGGTAGTACAGATATATCAAATGTCACTGTGATGCCATCAGAAACCTCCTCATTATTAATCATAGTTAATATTGCAATAATTCATAGGACAGTGTCAATATAATAAAAATATATGAAAAATTAAATACATTCATTAAAAGTCTGTAAAATTTGTGTGAAGTCATAAAATATGTTTAAAGTCATTAAATATTGGAATATAAAAATGAAGCAGGTAACATGAACTTCAAAATTATAAAATAAAATTATATGACACAGATTTGAAAATTGTATATCATGAAAAATTCAAGAGGTATATTAAAACTGTAATACATTTAAAAATAATCCAAAAATTTTATAAAAGGGCCGTAGTATAATAGATTCTAATTATAAATAAGTAAAAAGTAATTAAGTAATCCAAAGTTAATATTAAAACTTTGTGGAATTGGTAAAAATAATATTGTATGTAATGAATTCCTGCATTTAAACTAATAATATCCTTAATGACATTGTCAGAATTTTCTCAATTTTCTAATTGGTAATTGGTATTAGTTCCTCTTTAGAATTATCTCTAAATATAGCCAAATTCTTCCTTATTAATAAAATTGTTTATTATTGTTATAGTATAAAATTCTGTAAACAATAATAATTGGAGCACATCTGTCAAAGTTATTGCTACATCTGTGGATGTTCTTGCTCCATATTTAGTTGCTATTTTAAATAATGTGTATTACTGATGGTGTTTATCATAATGTAATAAAATTTAGTAAAATAATTCTTAATTTTATTATGGGGTTAGCTAGTAATAAAAACATAATATTTATTTCACAGAAGAGGATTATTTACCCCAATTATAGCAGGGTTTAGAGGGAGTCAGTGCAAGAGTGCTTTAAGGAGTCAAATATCATCACATTTGCTTCTCAATCAATATCAATATGTTTACCAAAAATGCATTAATGGAAATAAAGTTTGAAAACATGATATCACAAAATAAATTTTACACAAAAAAACAAACTTGTATTACTTAAATCTCTAGAACTAACTAACTAACTTTTGTAATTTTTTTAGTATATATCTCATTTCCAGCCGATGATAAATATAAGATCTGTAATATAAGTACTCATGCTGTATTAATATACAGCATGAGTACTTATATTAAAATTTTACATAAATAAATTACACATGGATGGAAATAATTTTCCATCCATGTTTAATTTATTTATGTAAAATTTTCTTAATAATTGTACTTGCAGCTACAGAAACTGAAATAAAGCTATGATTAATATTGCTTTCACTTTATACGGGGCAACTAGAATATAGCTTGACATTTCGTATAGACATTTCATATCTATTTCTGTTAATTTAGGTTGACTCCATGTAGATTTTACAATTATATATACCTAGGTAAGTAGTAAAGATCATGAAACCAATTTTAAATGGTATACATATCAAAAGTTATGTTCACCTCAATATATTACAATGCCTCTGATTACCTTTATTGACCTCTCAGTCGCGACCCTATATTTCTTATCTAAACACATATTTCAATGTGCAATAGATAAAAAACGTACTCTGCATTGTTTTATCTATGTATATCTGCACCTTCTCCGTTATAGATGCCATTTCACACACAAACAATTATTTAATTATTTACAGTATATTTAATATGACATACATATATCGAAAAGCTTTTAGGGCACACTATTTTCTCCCTTTCCAGTCACTTCTACGAAGTGCTACGAACAACTACGCTACGAATTATTATTATCTACTTAAGTATAGTAATTTGAACATGTCATTTAACGACTCAAAAATATCTACATCAGGCTAGAAATATTACTACTCAATTTTCTATAGATTAAATTCATAGTGAGGATACATATCATAATAGTAATGTCAGACTCATAGTGTCAGACGAACTCAAACGCATTTATGATCCAGCAACACTGAAACTGTCTAAACATTTCGAAACATGTTATACATACGAGATAAACGGCTAAGTAAAATTAGATTTAATTAATGTTTGTAAACATCGGACCGTGGTCGCGGACTGCTGAGGATAATTCAAAGAAGAAAGAAGTTCATTGTTAAGTTCAGCTGATAGTGGCATTTAATACGGCTGCCAGGGACCGGTAGGAATCCATCAGGAAGCAGCTGGACCTGACATCGCCGCCCACGGTCTAATCCCACTAGCTAAGCATCGGCTGTATACCCAACGACAAGCCGACACCGCGTATTTTACCTGCCCGCCATATAAGAAAATTTAGTACGTAAAGGGTTTCGCCAAATTTTGGGCAAAACAATTGGTCGACTACCGTGACGGCGTCAAGGCGGGCGTGTCTATAAAAGGCTGAGAGGGGGGTGCGCGGGGGTGGTAACACGATCCGCGAGCTCCAGCCGGCCGGCCGCCCTGGAGAGTCCGCGAGCGCGGGATGGACGGCGGCGGGGAGGGCGCGGAGCGGCATCTCGTGCGCGCGCGCCGCCCGCACCCGCTCTCACTAGTCGAACGGTGCCCGACCGGTAACGTAGCGCCGACTGCCGACCGAGAGACGAACAGCGACAATGTCCGCCGTGGCGAAGACTTCCAAGTACACCTACCGCAGCAGCGGCGGCGGCACCACCGACGTCAACATCGAGTACAGCGCCGACCTGAGTGCTCTCTCCAGACTGGAGGTACCGGCCTCTAGAAACCAGTGCAGTGCTTGTGAAGTGTTTACGGAGACATGATAGAATATATTGTATTTTTCAGGACAAGATCCGTCTCCTCCATGATGATCTGGAATCCGAAAGGGAGCTGCGTCAGAGGGTAAGCCCATAGAGCATGCGAAATGTGATATCGTGGACGCGGCAGCCATAGCGGGCGCGCGCTGCCTCAGGTGTAGGCGGGGCGCGCATATCTCACACCTCTATTAATATCGCCGCCTGATTATCGCTTCCCTTCGCACCCTTTGAGTACCAACCGAACTACCTCCACTTAGGGTAACTAAACCTAAAATTCCAGGAACTACTGAACCCTATTCCACTTGAACTCTCCTATGTGTGATCAGTTAACGATTTTCTTACAGTTTGTAGGACATTTCAGTACAATTTTCAATAATATATTAGTATTTTCAGATGTTTTATTAGTATTAAATATTATTAATTTTGTAAAATATAATTTATTTTGCATTTTTTTAAACTACTCAATTTAATTTTAATGTGTGGTAATATGATATAAAATTGGGTATATTGTTGTTTAATATAATCCAGTCATGATTGGCAAGAACCAACTTGATTTTGGGTGTTATTGGAAATTCAATATCCACTATCGTGGTATTGATATTTGTGCATTCTATTTTTGAATATTGCACTGTTAGCGCGGTCATGCATGCTGGTGCGCGCCCGTGCTGTGAACCATCTCTTCCCGCGGACTCGTCGCTTGTCGACCGCGGCTCGAGTCTGCGCTTGCGCATACTCTCTGACCGCGCGATATATTTAGCCGTGTAGCGAAAGCATTCTCTGAAATCTCAACTTCTCGCTCTCCGGTCTCACTTTTGAAACTGGGCCAAATGCTGCTCGTTCCCGTTGAGAATGCCACAATATTGAAATATAATAATAGACCGTGGTATGAGTGGCGAAAATATCCGAGTTAGTCACAGTCTTCATGAGATGTGAACCGATTCTTATTATAGCCGAAGCACAATGTGAAAATATGTGAAGGACGTCGTTAAGGTGTAACTCACTGTTATGTAACGGTCGGGAAATTATTGCTTGAGATCTAATGATAGCTAACTGTTGGGCTTATCATATTGGCATTAACAAAAAGTAATACATGTTTTCTAAATAACTTTATGAATTCTAATGATACTTATTGTTATTAAATTTATTATCTAATTCATGTTTAGGCACACAAATAAAAATAATATTTAAGTATGAACCGATAAAAAAAATCTAGTTTATGCCTATACTATAAGAAGTACTTGGCTACATCAATTAGATATGTACCTGATGATATATTATGTTAGTTTCAGTAATATTACATGCTATTTGTTAGATTTGATTTATTTTTTTCATGCAAATAATACTACTAAAATCATAACAAAGTGACTTTAAAATATAATTAAATTATAAAAGATTAGAGTTATAATTTTGGGTTAGAGAGTTTAATACTGCAGTTTATTTTTAAAGGATAGGAAAACAAGGTAATAGCCGACATGGAATTTAATATTAGAGATTTCCTTCATATACTTACTATATGTGTATATAAAACCGTTCCTTAGGAGTAACGTATTATTACAGCCTCGTCATAGTTTCACTGCCATATGCCCTTCAAAACGAACAAAATACGACGAGACAAGAAAAATTAAATATTGTAGAATACTTTATATAAAGTCATTACCAACTTTATACAAGATAAGTTTGTAATGATTATATACAAAGGTAAGTATAGTATAGTGTAGTGGTGAGAAGTAATATATGTTACAGGAAGTTACCTAAAAATATCAGTGTCTGAAAACATAGCGGCAAACTACTTTTGATGGACTGAAAACTATTAAATTTACACACAAAAGTTTGTCAATTAAAACAAAATAAGATTGGAAAAAAAATCGAATCTGTACAAAATTTACAAGTTTTTGCTGGGTCTATAAATACCAGAATATGTAAAATACTTTCAGATCGAGAGGGAAAAGGCAGATTTGAGCGTGCAAGTTATTCAACTCTCTGAAAGGCTAGAGGAAGCTGAAGGTGGAGCTGAAAGTCAGGTAAATATTAAAATAAGTACACTTACTAATAAAATACAAATAATTTTATTTGTGCAATATAGGAAAGTGTAAGTATATTATCAAAATATGTAAGACTAGCCTATTTCAAGTGGTGAATGAAGAAATTACAGAAGAGAAGAACTTCCATGATAGAATTATATTGAGAGAAAGGAAGACAGAAGGAATTGGATACAGAATTAGAACTTGAAAACCTCGAAGAAAGTGATTACTCATACATAAATAGTTATACCTAATTGATTCGACTATAATTTTTACTGCAAGAGCGAATCTTAATAAAGACATATAATGCAAGAGCGATGTATTATGCGGTGCGATAGATTAATCTAAAACTTTTATTTACAGGACAGTAATTCTCATATAATACTCCTAGATTTAATTTATCGTGAACTATTCATTATATTTGATGCCTATAGTGATCGGAGTATCGATATTAATTTTCTTTTTCATAATATTTCAAATTTACAGCCCAGATATATATGGGGTTGCATTTTTGAAATAAATCTGTATTTTTTCCAGTTCGAGATCAACAGAAAACGCGACACCGAACTTACCAAGCTCCGCAAACTACTGGAAGATGTCCACCTGGAGTCTGAAGAGACCGCCCACCTGCTCAAGAAGAAGCACCAGGAGATTGTCAACGATTTCCAGGAACAAATCGACCAGCTTACCAAAGGCAAAGCCAGGTGAGGAAACGTGTGCATTCGCAATATTTGACTCATTTCATCATCGAAAACTAATTGAATGCTGTGATTGGTTTGTGTATGTGTAGAATATGCTGTGCGGACCAATTTCTTTTGCGAATGCTGTGCGTCTATTCGGAGTCATCGTAGTTGAAATCCTTTGACGTTACATAGAGAGAATTCTCTTGTTGGTAATAAGTTGTGATGGCACGAAATGTTTCTTTGTCAATAGGACCGAGAAAGAGAAGTCCAAGTTCCAAGCTGAAGTGTACGAGCTCTTGGCCCAAGTGGAAAACGTGACTAAGGAAAAGATCACAATCTCAAAGTCATGCGAGAAATTGGAGATTAGCATAACCGAGCTGCATATCAAGATCGAAGAATTGAACCGAACAATTGTTGATATCACTTCTCACAAGCAGCGTCTGTCCCAGGAGAATGTAGAGCTTATTAAGGAAGTTCAAGACCTTAAGGTAATTGTTTATATAATATTATATTGAGGTAGTCCTTGTAAAACGCCGTTTGCGTGGGTGCCATATATTTCAGCTGCCGAACAGCTCACTTTGTAAGGTGTCTTTCGGTTGAAGTTTGGAGATAATGTACAGAAATTACAGGATATCGTAGTCCTCTGAGATTGCAAAGTATCAGTATCACGAATATCACATGATGCTTACGGTCATGTTCCTATATGTAGGCGACAGTTAAAACTTACCATCACGTGGGCGGTCAATTTGTTTGCCACTGTAATTACATAATCTTAAAGATATTGTAAAAGCGAAAGTTTGTGTGTGTGTTACTCTTTCACGCAAACATTACTAAACGGATTTTGATGAAACTTTACAGTAATATAGCTTATGTATTAGAATAACAAATACGCTAAATATTTATTTTAATTTAATCAATGAAATCTCCGGCACTTCTAGTAAAATATAACAATCCATTGTTAACATATTTGAAATTGTTGATGTATATTTTTGATACATACATGAATGATTGTTTATACAAACTCGCAATAGCTATTAAGTATTCAAAGAAAATTTAAAAAGTAATTCCTGTTTAAATCATCATAAATGGTTTTACTTTGGACATAATACGGTGCCTATAGCCTAGCACGGTGTTTTTCAAGGGTAACTCGTGTAATATTTCTGATATTGAAAGTATATATAGACTACGGTCATAGTGTTATATTTTATTTTATAAGTGTATTAATATCATTTTCAGGTGAACATTGAGAACGTAGTGTACCTTAAGAGCCAGTTGGCCAGCCAGCTTGAGGACTCCCGTCGCAGACTCGAGGATGAGGACAGGAGGCGTTCTCTGCTTGAGGCCACCCTTCATCAGGTCATCATCAGATTTTTTCTATATTTGCAAAGAGTTTGAATATCTTTGACTGTATTAGCGTCGACTGTTCCATTATTATTTATTTAAATTCCACGTATCACAGGTCGAGATTGATCTGGAGTCCATTCGTGTGCAATTGGAAGAGGAGTCCGAAGCTCGTTTGGACCTGGAACGTCAGCTTGTCAAGGCCAATGGTGAAATCCAGCACTGGAGGGTTAAGTTTGAGGCTGAAGCCTCCGCCAGAGCCGAGGAAATTGAGGAGATCCGCCGCAAATACTCGGTCCGCATTCAAGAACAGGAAGAACAAATTGAGACTCTCATTGCTAAGATCAGCAACATTGAAAAGCAGAAGTCTCGTTTGCAGAGCGAGGTAAATAAATATATCTTTAATGTTCCACTCTGATGGTAGCTGGTTTAATTCCTTGCACGGTACAAACATTTATATTCAAGAGTTTTATTGTTTGTATCTGTCTAGGTATTTTCAATGTATAGTATGTATGTATTTACTCTAGGTAACCGACCAACAAAAACTCTTGTGATAAACTTTTTTTTATAAAAATACCTAAGATCTTTATCCCAAAAATTTTATTTTGCAAACTATTTAGAAACATAACATTAAATGAAATCAAACGCAGTCCACCGTTTTTTAACTTCTTATTCATTATTATATTTTGATTAGTGCATTTTGCATACTTGTTAGTGATATTCCTATAAAGGAAGATTAAAAGGTATGTTAGCTCCACATCTATACCATGTAGCATTCGCTGTACCCAATAATATTAACTATTATATTAAATTAAAACTTATATCAGTTTAAATAGGTACTCTTCTAATTTCATTACAAAGAATGTTTTTCATTGTAAAGAATTCCTCTTATTGGTTACAATATTTGATCAATACAGGTGGAGGTCCTCATTATCGACCTTGAGAAGGCCAACGGAACAGCTCGGGAGCTTCAAAAGAGGACGGAGCAGCTGGAACGCGTCAACATTGAGATCAAATCGCGGTTGGAGGAGACGGTGCAGTTGTACGAAGTATCGCAGCGTGACTTGCGCAACAAGCAGACGGAACTGCAACGCGTGTCGCACGAGCTCGACAAAACCCGTGAGCAGAAGGACGCCCTTGGCCGCGAGAACAAGAAACTGGGTGGTGAGTGTACATAATTTATACTATATCTTTCTCTTTCTAGATTCTTCAGGGCTTAGGATCTTGACCACTGGAAATACTTCTTCCAACCAAAATTCTCCAGGCATTTCTTACACTTATACTTTTTTTTGGGACTAGTCTAATGCTGTTAGCCGCAGCTGGCCTTTACAGCTTCACCGGACGATAGGGGGCGAGTGCAGATGGCACTCCACACACGCGGAAGGACTTATGGAGTGATTTCTATCTTGTGCTAATGTAATTATACTACATGTAAACTAGAAAGTCGTTTATCTCAGTCTCACCTATTCGACCCGCTAAGCAGAGATCTTTGTAAACTTGTTATTCAGTTTTTGGGCGCAGGAAAGGCAGTGATATTACAAGATCTTACAGTCTGGTTATTTATCCCAGAGACAAATTTGACATTGCCTGTTGCCATCTTTTTGCAATTCTTAAATAGTGTTGCAGTACAATCGGAAAAAAATATTAAGTATCAATATATATCTGTTATACTCAAATAATATTAGACATATTCACACAAAATTAATAAAGTTGTAGTATCAAAATAGTTTTTTTTATTGATCCATTTACTGATATATATTTTACTAAAACTATCTCCCTTTTTTTATAAAAGAAATGACCTTCATATGGTGTCACATTTCATAAAACATACACCTACTTAAAACCTTACTTACTTAGTACCGTAAAAATTCCTATATGTATGGAAACTACAAAAAACATTTTCTTGAGTTGTTTAATACAAAGATAGTTATGGTAACACTAGTACATGCACTAGTGTTTCTATTATTGTCTTTGTAGTAAACAATTTTTTTTGTATTAAACGTCTTTTTTACGCAGTCTACATTTGTAGTCTGTTTTTTTAATATCGGAGACTAAATTGACAGGTGTAAATGTCAAATTTTCAAATAGGTTTACCGACTGTAGTGCTGTATATACAATACTGATTTTCTAAAAAGTCCTTTCATTATAGATTAAGAGTTTGCACTCTTTATTAAAAACTATCTAACCTACGCAGTTTCGTCTGCGTCGCATTTAATTTCCTATTTTACATTGCAGTCGTGTGCCTATTGATGTCAGTTTATATTATAATAGCCTATAGCCTGGGACTTCAAAAAGTGGGTCATCCAATACTAAAAGAATTTTCATAATCATATTAGCAGTATCTGAGATTACCCCGAACATACAAACTCTACCTCAATATAATATTAGTATAGATGTTACATACATGGATTTGTATTTCAGATGAATTGCACGACGCCCGTGCCAACCTCACGGAGTTGAACCGCCGTCTTCACGAGCTCGAGATCGAGCTGCGCCGTCTTGAGAACGAGCGAGAAGAACTCACCGCCGCCTACAAGGAAGCTGAGGCCGTGAGTATCTACGTTAAAAAGAGATAACTATATTTTTATAACACATATATAATAATAATATTTGTATATTGTACAAAAAACAGTTATAAAATGGACCTAACTAAGTTTCTATATCCAGTAGGTATATATAATACATGTAGTTCTTAAAAAACTATTTAACACCAAGTCCAGTGCAGTAGTGTATAAACTTGGTTCAGTATCTCAGGAATCATTGCCCTCCTACATATAAATAATATGCAGTTACTATACAATTTTTAAGCATTGAACAAAAAAACATGACTAAAGTAAGGTATTATATATATATATGGGTCATATTCATGTTTGCCAAATCTTAGTGTAAGAAAAAAACAATCTAGTCCCTATATTCAATACCATTCACACAGAGCATATAGTCTGGAACAGCATCTAGTGACTAGAAAACTTAACTATACTTTTTGGGTAGTAGGCACACTGTTGGCTAGAAGGCGCTGGACTTATTTATTATATATTCTATTACTATTAAAGAATGGGAGTAAACTAGCGGAGGACCCTAATGAAAAGTTTCAACCAACATTACCAAAGAGTGTACAAATTGTGTAATATTACATAATTTTCTGAATTAGAACCCTCATTTACTTCTCCTCTTATCGTTCAAATAAAACTAGCGCACGTATTGTTATTTCACAGCAGAAATGCTTAAATCATGTAATCTTCTCCGGCGTGATCAACAAAACACTAATATCAGAAAATTTATATCAATAGTCAAGACATAATTAATACATACATATTTATAAACCATTATAAAACACCAGAACTGGCAATTAATCTAATTTACATATGTAGTGACCTACCAATATATATATTATATATATAATTATATAAATGCGTATACTGACAATAATCACAATAACATTTTTTACTCAGACAGACTTTGTTAAAGATGTATAATATCTTATTTCTCCGGAATGGCAACGCATGAGTGATATCACATGATAACGTAATATCCGTCGTGCTATTAATATATTACGACAATGGCACTTACCATCAGGTCTTTAGATTGTTTTCCAATAGAATTACATAAAAAAACTCAATAATTAAATTTTGATACTTGCAACAATGGCTAGTTGGCAACAATTCGGCCACTGAATAAAATGTAGTATAATGTCGCCAAGCTATGCCAGATATCCGTGCGATGAAAATAGAATTGTATTTATAAATCGAGGACATTCACATGCACAGATTTTTGATTGACTAAAACGATTGTAATTACGATTTTACATTTATCTTATATGTTTTGCGTATAATGCATTTTTATCATACATATTAAATATATACCTGGATACTCACAGGTAATCAAAAACTGTTATGTTATTAAAAATAAGATTTTGACATCCGTTAATATATGTACTACATTGCACTGTATATTAAACCCATAAGGTATTTTCTATTTTTGTATATCTAGTATATAATATCAATCTAACGATAGATTGCCAGTCAGCACGAAAAAAACGTATAATTCCAGTCACATAATAGTATTATTGACTTTATTTTCGTGTCAAAATGAGTACTCCATATATTTCTGCTTTAAAACAGCAATATGTGCGCTACCGTCTTATTTGTACCAATACGGATTTAATACTTTCGTTTACAGGATGAAGTGGTAGAAATGAATGACGATACAACTGATTAATTATATTAATGGTCAATATATTATCATTCATGTTCATAGATAACTATTCGACAGTAGATTATACTTGAACTCTTAATAGTATAGTCGCAAAAGCATAATTAAGCAGAATAATATATTTCAACCATAGTATAAAGAATGCTATCTATGAATAATATGAACTTGTCAATAAGTTTCATAATCCCATATACGTATATATGTGCAGCAATTTATATATATACTTTCAAAATTGATCAATTGAACGAAACCTGATGAACAGAATTTATTATATTTAGGTTCACATTGTTAATTAAAATACTGCAGTACCTTATAAATCGAAAATAATTACAATATGTTAAAATTTATTATAATTTAAAGGGCCGCAAAGCTGAGGAGCAGCGTGCGCAGAGGCTGACTGCCGAGTTGGGTCAGTTCCGCCATGAGGCTGAGCGCCGTCTCCAGGAGAAGGATGAAGAGATCGAAGCTATCCGGTTAGTATATCATAAAGCAAATGAAACAACTCCCATAACTCGAGTCTTGTATGAAACTTCATCTATACCTAAGAAACAAGCTACTTTTAATTCAGAAACTTAACCTTCAAAATAATCTTATGTTCAGAATATTGAGATTATTTTGTATGTATAATATAAATATATACTAAAACTGAACTAAAATAAAACTATAATACCAGAACGGAAAGGCACGCCAACTTACTGATTAAGGGTATAATAAACAGAAGAACAACTATTGTTTACACAGATAGAGTCGGAATGAAAATGATTATGACTAAACACACTACACTGAATGAGCTCCAACCCAGAACTGTATACAGACTATCTTTCAACACCAATGCCCCACTTCCCTTAGCCCTGTTGAGTGAAGTCTGTCATGAAGGTACGCGATCAACAGATCTCAACCAATACAGCCATGACACAGATTCAATAATGGAACTATGCCAAACAAAGCTACTTCATAAACACATCGTGAAAGCTAATAAACTTTACACGTTACTATCACTTATTATATTACACAAATCTGCGCAAAATCTTACTATGTAAAACAGCTCCTAACTTCAGACGAAAACTATCTTGACATAAACAACTGCAAATAAAATTATTAATTCTATAGAGCTAAAATTTTATTGGCACTCACCCTATTTATATATAACCGTGTATGTGATTGGTGAATATTCACGGTACTTACATACACATTTGGCAATAAGCGCTAGTGAAAATGTACAAAAGACAACGTTGATTTCATCTCTAGTCCAATTTCACGACCTCGAGCCCTACTGACAGAGTGTTACCGTATTGCTATCGGAACTAACGAAATTAATCGCTCTGAATCTTTGAATTGACTCGCCATGGCACCAGTTAAGGTGCCGAACTATAGTAAATGGACTCGACCCCCTACTGCAGTCTACGAAGATAATTATGGCTATGGTATTAATTACTATCAACCTATGATCGACTACATCTCAGCAAAAGAAAATGGCGCACCCAGAAGACTACCACATATACCATGGAATAACGAAAGAGGATTAGATAAATATAAATGTAATAAAGTACAAACGTATACTGATCAAGAGGTAGCAAAAATTTCTCGTGAAGTTGCTGCACAAGCCAAACGTGATCTTAATAGTTTTAATTCATTTGAAGTGACAAAAAGGACTCCGTTGTCCGTTGTAGCTACGGCTGCTGCTGCTAACGTAACTAAACATGTGGGCATTGAAAGTGTTTCGACGAAAACCAAAAAGAAAAGAGGAGAAAAAATAAAAGCAGAAAGACAAAAAAAGAGAATGGAAGAAATTGAAAAGGAACTTCAATTATACGAAGCAGAAGCAAACGTTGGAGCAGAATTGAGAAGCAAGGCTTTAATGTATAGAGGGAAATCAGCTGGAGCCATTGCCCAAGTATTACTAGATGAGAGTAGAAAAAATGTGGCCGAGGGAAAATTTCGAAACCTTGATTCCGATATTAAAAAGAGAGTCGACCGTAATTATGCTGCTTTATCTAAAAAAATTGCGATAGAAGCTTTGGAAGAAAGTCTGTCAAGCAAGTTGGAAAATAAAATATCAGAGACAGTATCAGAAACAATAAGAACAGTTCGCGAAGTATCGCCAACAACGTGTATTGTTAGAATAAAAACAGAAACGCCAGTAATCGTAGACAATTCGTATCTCATTACTTTACAAGAATTAAAAGAAACTTTAAAGGAATTTGAAAGTTTAAATACTAATGTTATAATTGATAGAAGGTATAAAAACTTGTCTAATAGAATGGCATTTATTCCTATTAAATATTACTTATGAGACAATTTTGTTACAGCAAGCAGACAAGCATCGAGATCGAACAACTAAATGCTCGCGTTGTTGAAGCCGAGACTAAGCTGAAGACTGAAGTCACACGCATCAAGAAGAAGCTCCAGATTCAAATCACCGAACTCGAGCTTTCTCTTGATGTCGCCAATAAGACCAACATTGATTTACAGAAGACCATCAAGAAGCAGTCACTGCAGGTAATATTTTTCAAGTAACTGATAAATATTCGAAATGTGTATTGTGTAATGAATAAAAGTAATAATGAAATTATTTTGCCAGCTCACTGAAATCCAAACCCACTACGATGAGGTTCAAAGGCAGCTCCAGGTGACCCTCGACCAATACGGCGTCGCCCAGCGCAGGATACAATCCCTTACCGGCGAAGTCGAAGAGATCCGTGGCAATTACGAGCAGGTTCGTTAATTTTATTGCTTTTTGTTTTGCAAAAACACAATATAAAATGCTCTTTATGTTCTTCTTTCCATTGTAACATGAAATTAGCTATTTTCAGCATAAATGAAATCTCTTAAGATTTTTTTCTTCTTAACATACATACTTAAACACGTTATCATAAGCAGTAGAATCAAAAAGAATAATATAAATAATAAATATATTATTTACGCATTGCATTTTCATATATATCATGGCATTTCCAGAAGACCATTAGAATTGCAATTTAGAATAACTGAGTATGAATATAATATTTGCAGGCCCTTCGTGCTAAACGCACAGTCGAGCAGTCATATGAGGAAGCCCAGACCCGCATCAATGAACTGACTGTCATCAACGTCAACCTATCTAGTAGCAAGGCCAAGATCGAGCAGGAACTTGCCGTTGTCGCCGCTGACTACGACGAAATCACTAAGGAGCTGCGTGTGGCTGACGAGAGATACCAGCGAGTCCAGGTTAGATACTTACAGTAATGCAATAAGTAATACCGATTTTGTGGTTGTTAATTCTATTACCACCATCATTAAGGTCAGTTACAATATTCGAAGCATTGAACTGGCGGCCAAACTGAGACCACGTCGAACAGTCAACACTAGGCTTCCATATACCTTGGAATCCGAACTAGATTCAATGCCTGATGAAGGCTCGTTCAGAGGCGAAAAACGACTCAATAACTGTCGCAATTTGAGCACAATTACAGAAGGTCGTAACGGTAGTCAAGTTTCCGCATGTATATTTATGATCTTACATATACTAATTATAGGGGATATAAGCAAAATAACACCTAATTCGATTAAATATATGCGGTATGACTTAGTCAGATAATAATGTAGAATTTCAGGACTATACCATTGTTATGAGCATATAAATGTTTATGTGTAACTATATGACACACTATTCTATAGAATAGAGAAAACGAAAAAAATAATAATTAAATAACTACTAAATAAATACCTTAAAATACAAAGAGGAAATTGTACGGAAATAAATTTGCTAATGAAACTTGAATTTATACTAATTCGTATACACTAGCATTGAAATTTCATTGAATGAATATTTTTACTACGAACTACAATGATAATTAATATGTAACAGATATCTTGATATTTATAGCTAGTCGAATAACTCATACTATAGTCGTGCCAAGCCAAATATATCATAATTAAAAAAGCATCAATGACAAGAATTACTATGATTCATATCATAATTATGATTTCAAGCTACATATAGATATATAGTACTCTGTTAAATTTAGATCTCTTTCATATCGATAGTACGCCACAAAATGCGGTTGTAAGTTATCTTCAGTATTTGTCCCAATAACCTTAAACAGACTTAAAATATGAGAACTGGTGGTTTTCTATAAATGTAATATGAATAATATTAGGTAAACAATAGTGTAATATATACCTTACATTATTAACGATTTATACAAATACCTACGACGATCATAGTGTCTAGCGGTTTAGCATTTACCTCCGATGGTCGTGGGTTCGATTCCTTACACGGTACAAACATCAACGGTACAACATCATATTCATAAGTATGATTGTTTGTATAGTTCTGGGTGTTTTCTATGTATATCATGGGCGTATTATTTATTTACAAAAAAAAATATTTAACCTTTAATTTTATATTATTTCTATAATATATTTGTTTATTTTTCAGACTGAGTTAAAACACACTGTCGAGCATCTGCATGAGGAGCAGGAAAGAATCGTGAAGATCGAAGCTGTCAAGAAATCCCTTGAGATTGAAGTCAAGGTTAGTTTATACCATTATACTTATAATTAAATTTGAGATACCACGAATATTTGGTTTCAACGTATACAACCCTTTTAGTAATATTCGGTATATCGAATATCAAAACTTATAAAAAAATGTTGCATCTGAAATATGCCATCTTTCTGGAATAGTATAAAAGTTATTTACGATATTAGTACTAGTATTTGAACCGCTTCTAAACGGAGTCAGCGCTGAAATGCCATGTTCAAGAATAAAATCTATGCTTATTCTGCTGCCATGACTATGCAATATGTGGATTGCATAGTCCAAATAATACTCCTGCATTGATACCTTTATCCACTATACGTTATTAGTAACACAATGACGTATCAAAAAATCAACACATAATGCTGCTTGCAGATTCAACAAATTCAACCACACGGAAAATGTCTAAAGGTCGCCGAATTATCGGCCCTTCACCCTAGAACCGATTATTAGCCGATTTTCGGTATTCGATAAAATCGTTATTCGTGGCATCTCTAATTATAACCGTCTCAGATAAATAATAATTACCACATAAAAGAATTCAGGCTCAGATTAGTTGAAACAACAAGCGAATTTCGATAAATACATTATATTAATACTTCTACGACACTTTACAATTAAATGTGAATTCATTTAATCGTAATGAGTCTTCATTTTCATTCAAATTGCATGTAAGAAACAGTTTAATATAATATTTAGATTTATTAGGCGGAAAGTGTTTAAACCTTAACTTTTTTGAATGCCTTAATTCAAATTCTAAAAACATTTATTAATGTTATACATTTTAGTCACTCGTGATTAACGTAATTTTTTCCCTACCATAAACTAATAAAAAATGGAGGATAATAATTTTATTTCTTTTAAAGAACATCTCCGTCCGTCTCGAAGAGGTTGAGGCCAATGCCATTGTCGGTGGCAAACGCATCATCAGCAAGCTGGAAGCCCGCATCAAGGATATTGAACTGGAACTTGACGAGGAAAAGAGGAGACACGCCGAAACCATCAAGATCCTCCGCAAGAAGGAACGCTCGCTCAAGGAGGTCCTGATCCAATGTGAAGAAGACCAGAAAAACATCGTTTTGCTGCAAGACTCTCTGGAGAAGACCAGCCAGAAGGTCAACATCTACAAGAGGCAGTTGGCTGAACAGGTATGATTAACAATACAATAAAATTAATAGTAACCAACATAAATAAACACAGTAGAACTATAATAAAAAACAAATTTACATTTATTTTAATTTATAAATACTGGATTTTCTAATATTATCACAAAGAGACATATGAATTTATAATATTTGGATTATATTATTTTATATAGGAATTAATCAGAATATCAAATTAAAACAGGCGGTGTTTAATTCAAATAATAATATTGCTTCATGTGGTTATACAGATGTGAAATATAGTATTATTATATAATTTCTATAAGGCACTCTGTATAGGCACTACAATAATAGCAGTAGTTACTATTTAAATGTAAATAATGTCAATGTAATACAGAAATTCATTTAAATATGGTACAGCTACATATTAAAAATCTTTATCTATTTCAATTTCTCCATGGTGCAGTATATAGGACCGTATAGTTCAGAGTATAGTAGTTTAATCCTATAATTTTAGTCATGCTATCATCATAATAACATCCTGTTGTTATTAAAAATGTAATGATAATAATAGGTATTATGGTAATGCTAATAATTAGCAGACTTCTAAAAGGAGGACTTCGCCAACTACCACCCACGCTCGACAACAACTCATTATTATTTAGAGTATTTAGTATTTTACCCATTGGTCATTTCTACTGACACCCTATGCGTACCATGTGTAAAATGTAGTGCACATATTGTATTTTTACTTGCTAACAACAATTTTTTTTTGTCTGTAGGAGGGTGTCTCCCAACAGAGTGTGACGAGGGTGCGACGATTCCAACGCGAGCTCGAGGCTGCCGAGGACCGCGCCGATGTCGCTGAAAGCAACCTGTCGCTCATCCGCGCCAAGCACCGCACTTTCGTAACCACCTCAACAGTGCCCGGCTCCCAAGTCTACCTGGTCCAGGAGTCTCGCGCTCTCAGCACGGAATGAACACCCTTCCCTTCGCCCCCAACACCAGCATTTCTCTCCACCAGTCTATATCGGGGCGTAATTCCGGTCGGGTATAATAAGCCTAGTCGTTCGTTAAGTGATGTATGATCTAAATGGTAGATGGCGCTAGTAAACTTGTTTGTGTAACGGTGCCATCTGTTGTGGAGTTTGCAAGTCGGGACGGGCGCTCGGCGTTAGGCTCGCCCTAAGTTGCCGTGTCTCCACACTATGGCCGATCGCCGACCGTCCGTCCCATCACCTTTTTATAAATGTAACGCTAAAACAACCAAATAAAGGAACCAAAAACTATAAGCTTTTTTTTCAATATTTTTCTATTATAAGGTCACCGGCGCTAAAATACAATGTCGTTATGCACCGTATTTTAGGTGCAGTAGTTTAAATAAAAGATTATTTTATATTATTATTTATTAATAGTGCAATACATATTGTACGTTTGTAACTGTAATTTGTATTAATTTAAAAATAAATGCTATTTATGTTAAAGAAACAAAAAAAGCAATAAAAGTTCAAAAGCAGATTGTATTTTATTTTCACGTTTTTACAAGATCCTGTCCTCTACTAACCAAAAACCAAAAATGAATGTTGTAAAATCTCCATACTTAAACTATATTATTAGTTTAAGTAATTATTAAGTAGTATCCATTTATAATTAACGTACCTTATGTTACAATGATCATTGAGATAGTTAAATAATTTTATCTAGTAAGCTATCTGATGGTGCATACACATGCACTAAGCTCGGTGGATAATTCGAGATAGCGTCCATTCAGTTTTTTCTTTGTTGTCTTGAAATACATATACGTTTTTCTTGATTATTATATTTAAAAAAAATCTAGAAATATATTTTACCGTGACAACAATACACGGCATAAGTAAATAGAAATTAATATGGTAACAATATTCAATAAGAATTTAAGCAATTCATTTGATCTAAAACATACGAAAACAGATTAACGAGTACATACACTTAAATGTTTATGTACAACTGTATAACACCAATTGGCATAGAATTGAGAAAAGAAACAATAAAAAAAATCCCTGCATTGTACGGAAAAACTTCCGTCTTCCAAACGTGACGTAGGTGCTGTAATAAAAATTGGCAGACTACAATTTACACTCCAAGATTGTTTTTAGAATACAACATCTTTTTTTCAATCCAGTTGTAAACCAAAGGTTTATAATCCATTTTGGAGGAAATTATGTTATAATTTACCAGATGAAAACACTATTAAGTGAAGGATGTAATCTATAGATTTGTTTTACTTCAAAAAATGTAAGTCCATTTCTATGATGTTGATTTTACAATCATTGCTTACTCAAAGGATTGTTATTATGTTAAGCTGAAAAGACGATTTTAAGAATGAGGAGTATAATAGTAGATACGTATCAAAAGTAAAGCAGATAACAGAAAATAATAATGATATAATAATAATAATATTTAATAAGAAAATATAAATATACGTGATATAGGTACATAACGGTGCACAATGACCGAGCTACATATCGGAGTTTAATCGTCAGATGCAATAGTGAAGAGTGAATAAAAAAATGACCTCTAGAGACTTTATTTGTACTGCTTCCCTTGATGCGGTCGGTATAGAACATAAAATGAGTAAGTATGATAAATTGAACAAAATGAACCTTTCTTTTCAGTAGATAACATTGTCCTAAAATGTCTATTCAACAAAGACAAGATAATATTACGTATGTATCTATATTACTTAAATATCCCAAATTAGGTAGGTACTGATTTGAAATTATTTATTCCTAAAAAATATTTTTAAATACATTATAGTAATTAAGTAAGTTTGTATTGCTCTTGGTTTGTTACATATAACAGACACACACATTATATCTAATATACTGCATACATTTTTATGGATAAAGATTTCTATCAGTTATTTAGTACCATAAAACAAGCTCTGCTAAGCTTAGAACTAGATTATGGTGTGTGGATAATCTATTAGCATTATTTTTATATCTGTACTAAGTATTTCGAATACTTAGCGATTAAGATGGATATCGTTACATTTAACGGTGCTCGGTCGTCACGGCCTCGTCTCATATTCTCTAAAGAAATCATCTCAGATCCACAAGTTGCGCAAACACCGCCCGCCCAGTCGCCGGCCGCCCGCCCAGCTGCGTACGCGCATACGTCTCCTAAGTAACAGGTCAGTAAAATACTTTTTTACAAATAAAATAGATTTGAGAAGTAACATATAATATTTGAAATAAAGTTAATAATACAGTGATTTTCCGTCAATCGTGGAATAGGAAGTTGTTTTAATTCGAATTGCATTCTGTTATGTGCATGTCTCTGGCCGTGGAAGTGTAATTAACCAATACGGTATTTCTTGTAAGGTTCACCAGAACTTAACACTAACGACACAGCACGAAAATATCAACTGTGTTGTTTATTTCTGTTATACATAAATATTTTTGGATAAATATCGACTGTGAAGTACCTAGGTATATATACAATGCAATTGTTACTAAACCATATACTTAGTGTTTTTTAAATAAGATTAATTATTAAAATTTATATTAAAAGCGAATAAAAAGATAGAGCATAGATATTGTTACGATTGGTTTATACCTATATCTAAAAATATAAATAAAAAGTTGCGTTCCTAGACATGTATATTATTATTTAATCAAATTTAAAAAAAGAACATTATTTTTAATTGGAGTATATTTTCTGTTTACGGTTTATTATCCACAAGTTTACTACATTATTATTATTAATATTTGCAAAACTCATAGGCAGTTATGTAGGTAAATATTGTAAGCGAGATTTTTATCTCTTAATACTTATTAATTCATTTCATTTAATAACAATTTTATTACTTCCTATATAAAGTTTATAGAAAAGTTTTACCTTTTTAAACGAGAACATTTGCGCTAGATAAAAATAATACATAGGGCATTGATCCTACTTTGCTTTAAAAGTGACGTTTTGGTCATCAACCTAAATGTTGAAGATGAAGTTTTATATTCCTTTGATGTTATTATTCATCTAAAACATACAAACCAATCAATATCCATATACTATGAATAACATAAATATTTCCATAACCAAAAATTTATTTCATCCAAATATTGTTTTAGTTTTTTATATTATAAACAAGGTTTTTATATTATACTAGAGACTCGTCTCGAGTTCGCAGGGGTGCATTACAAATCTTTGAATTTTTCAGCTTGTTCTTTATTATAATACGCATGACTAGTACACATAAACCTTCCTCTTAAATCACTCTATCTATTGGTGAAAATTGTATTAAAATCCGTTGTGAAATTTGAAAGATATGAGCGAACAGACAGCGGTGCCCACTTTGTTTTATACAAAAAAAGATTAACAAATCTGCGTAGGTATAGCCTGTTAAGTGATTCATATATTAACAAGAATACTTATTCATATACGTTGATATACTTGGCGAATACGATACGTTGCAATTTATCATCTCTGGACGCGGTGAATTATCATTAATGAACACTAACAGATCCCTAATCATGTCCAACTACTTACACTATTTCTTAGTAACACAGTAGTTGACTGTTACCAATTCGTCTGCTGGCAACCTGTTGATGCTGTATTGAGCATCTATAGTTCTATTCATTCTCATTTTATATATTTATTATGAAATATTTATTACGACTACATCAAATTTAAAATAATTGTTTGGATTTTATATTTTTTAATTGCTAATAATGAAATGGCTTACACCTGCGTCACCGGTATTCGCTAGCGCTGGTAGAGCAACAGTGGAGAATAATAAGAGAAGCATGGGTTCAAATCACTTAGTCTGTCGTGGTTGGTTTGGTCTATTCAGATCCGCGCGGATGTCAAACTATCATGGTACATTATAAGCAATAGAATTATAAGTCCATATTGCTATAACTTCCCCTATGTTTTTCATTTAGCTTTCTGCATTTCATTACTAGTTATATTATTTTCCACAGACAAGCTAAATTTTAAATATTTGAAAAAAAAAATGTGGATTTATATAAATATCTATTAATACAAAAACTAACTTATCTTTATTATATTTAACGACAAATATTTCTAAAATTAATATCATTTTCATATCTTATTTTGTGAACATTACTCTTAATCGAGTTACCATGATGTAAATAACGCGATGAAATTTTTCATACACGAACACGTTATAATAAAAGAAAGATGATTTAGTATAAAAATATCTATCATTTTTACATTACATTATTATTTGCTTTGTATTATTTTAAAAAGATTTTATGATTGACATTACAAAGATTCTATGATTTTTTAAAAAATTGGAAACAACGAACTATCTTATTAGTATTTAAAATGTATTAGTGTATGTTTATCTTACCATTGTGATTATAAACTACAGCGGTCTTTGATTTTGCTTGTATCTGTGTCAAGTTCGTTCTGGTGGATTTATAATTATTTTATGTGTTGCACGCAGTTGTTTTACGGTCTTGTTCCTGTTTTGCAACAGTAAAGATTATGTTATATAGTATTTTACTAATTTATACGCAAACAGAAGAAATCTATACAGAAAATATATATTTATTTAGTGGGAAAAGTAGGATTTGCTTTTAAAAGAAACAGATATAAGAAATTTATTAATGTTAATGTTCTTTTTAAAAGTATCTAAGTGAACATAGATACGTTGAGAATTGCCACGTAAGTCTTTTACATATCCTGTACTTACCAAAGAGCTTAGCGAGTGAGCATGGCATCTTAAAAATTTATCAACATCTATTCTAACGTTATTAAAAGATTAGAAACACAACAGAAAAAATATTGACGAAAAAGTGCAGTTTTACTTATTTTCCAAATTATCACTGTAGTAGATAAGAACTAGTATGCGTATTAATGGATATATTCAGATATATTTATGCTATGCGATAGCTGACAAATTCTGCGAAAAAATCAGCTGTACTTCAGCACACTAATAATTTACTACATAAATGTTTAATTATATTATTATTAATTAAATATATGAACTAAAATAAATACAATAGAATACTCTTGGATTAAATACCTGCATTTATTGATAAACCATAATACTTACTAGTTAAGTTATATTTTTATACTTAACTTAACTTAAATTTGTGACCTTAACAACGCACAGAAAATATTATTATATATTTTGTGACTTATTTGCTTAAGTCACTGGAAGAAACTAGTTTCTACTCGACATAGTTTAGATTCTAGTGGTTTTAGAATTTCAAGTTTCTAAAAAGATTTTGGTGTTATAGCACCTGTTTGTGGTAAGAAATACGAAATTGTAACTATACGAGACGAAAAACATTATTCATGTCAAATACTTTTCAATCTATCTTTTAAAACATTTAATAAGTATAAAACCGTTTCATCACTCCATGTATTCTATTAACTGAATACAAATAAATATATTAGTGAAGCCCTGTGCTCTGGATTGAGTGGTAGGTAGGCATTTGTTTGTATAAATCAACGGCGAACCGCAGTCATTCTAAATTAGAGTATGTTTATATGCAGCTGCCTTTTTATATAAATATCGCAGTAAGCTCTAACCTAGAAAAGGTTGCATCAAACGACTCACCATTTTTTAAATTTTTCCACTAATTCCAATATGTTATGGCTTAAATATCCCATGGCTCTTTCTTTCTAGAAATCTCTACAGAGATTTCTAGAAAGAAAGAAATAAATATATATGGAAAATGCAATGCATGCAATTTACTAATATATTAAGTAAACAGAGACTTGGATCCATTATAGAATGCCGTTTGCTAAAAAATAGAATTGGTATAATATTAATATATAAATATTTATGTAAAATAAATCAATAGTTCTACTTGCATTAAAAAGCTTATTACATTAATTAATCAATTATAAACTTAATTCAATATCTGAATAGAATTTTACATCATTACATGTAGTCTTACGAGTAGTTGTATAAAATATAGAGACTGTGGATGAAAGGATTACTATTTCGCATCACCACACGTATAACCTTATGTAATTTAATTTAATATTTAAATTTAATTATTGTAATAACTTAACACTAAATAGTTTCGAATAAATATTACTAAAAAAAGTAAAATATTAAATCATTAATTGAATTCAGAAGTCCACTTTTAAAAATCTTTCCTTTCTATTCCTTTTATTCTATTTTGAGTGAATAAATATTTGCCAATTAACATCACGTTTGTTTGGAACAATATCGTAAATAATATTGTAAAGGTCGTGTTATGTTAATAAATAGTGGCTCTAAATTAATATCGCTTTAGAAAAACCAACATGGATTGTTATTAAACAATCTGCCGCTGAATGTGTCCCGGCTCCAATCGCGCGTACACGGCGCGGCGACCAGCGTAGTCTAAAAATATACGGAACTACGACACTATTGCAATGGGATATCCTGACAAATTATTTTTATATATCCCTGTTTGTCTCTGGATTCGTTTGCCGCTTGTCGGCTTATATTGCTTTTTGGTGTACATTTTAATAGGGGTACATATTTTTAGATATTTGAAACGTTTTGTTTTTATTTTAGTCAACAACTCTTACTTACAATCGTAAAACGTTTGTCAGGGTTTGTTTTGTAAGTAATTATTATATGTCAATAAGACATGAAAGAATCATGTGGAGAGAATTTATGAAAAATTGGAGCTAAAGTAAATGGAAATATGCTAAGAAACATATTATTTACGTTATTCTTTAATATCGTTGTGCGATATTGCTTAATTACTATTTCACATTAAACTTTTCTTTGAATGACGACATTCAGACAAATCATTTGTTTATCCTCACATATCTCGTACTCGCGATGGTGGAGTTATATGAGAATATTGACTTTAACACGTGGATATTTTTCAACTAATAAATACTACATAACTGACAACAATTGTTAGTTATCTACTATATATTATATTCAAAGTTATATAAAATCTATAAAAAACAGTGAATACTTGACCAATAGTGGTGTTATTGACATTTTGCTGTCTTGATATTGTTCAAGTAATATACGACCATTTCGGCTTTAATACATTAACATTGATTAGAAGAAGCTAGGTGTTCTTTTCAACATAACTGGCAACATTTGTTAGTAGATATAATGAACGCTAAACAAGTCCGACTATAAATACTTGTGTTTAATTTTATTTTCGATACATTCCAAGAAGAACACCAATTAAAACATAC